CAGCAAAAAGAGGAGGATTGGCAACAGATGTTAGCTCAGGGCTAATCTTCCTCACCAAAAAAAGAAGAAGAAGAAGAAGAAGAAGAAGAAGAAGAAGAAGAAGAAGAAGAAGAAGAAGAAGAAGAAGGAGAAGAAGAAGAATCTAAATATAGCACCCTTCACAAAAATTTACTGAAAATGGATTGTAAATTTATGTAAAGTGCAAAATTATAAAACTCCTAAAAGATAACATAGTATAAAATCTAGATGACTCTGGGTTTGGTTATGACATTATAGGTACAACACCAAAGGCATGATCCATGAAAGAAATAAGTGATAACCTGGACTTCAATAAAATTAAAAACACTGTTCTGTGAAAGACAATTTCAAGGCAATGAGAACACAAGCCACAGATTGGGAGAAAAGACACATCTGATAAAGGACTATTATCCAAAATATACAGAGAACATTTAAAACTCAACAATAAGAAAACAAACAACCACATTAAAAAATTAGTCAAAGACCTTAACAGAAACATCATCAAAGAAAATATACAGGCAGAAAAGAAGCCTATGAAAAGATGCTCCACATCATATAACAGTGAGATACTACCACACACCTATTACAATGACCAAAATATGGAACACTGACAACACCAAATGCTGGCAAGTATGGGGAGCAACAGGAACGCTCATTCATTGCTAGTTGGAATGCAAAATGGTTCAGACACTTTGGAAGACACTTTAGCGATTTATTATAAAACTAAACATACTCTGACCATATGATTAAGAAATCGGGCTCCTTGGTATTTACCCAAAGGAGTTAAAAGCTTAGATCCACAGAAAAACCTGCATGTGGATGTTTATAGTAGCTTTATTCACAATTACCAAAACTTGGAAACAAGATATCCTTCAGTAGGTGAGTGGATAAATAAACTGTAGTACATTAAGACAATAGAATATTATTCAGTACTAAAAAGGAATGGACTATTAATCCATGAAAAGACATGTAGGAACCTTAAATGCATATTACTAACTGAAAGAAGCCAATTTGAAAAGGCTATATACTGTATGATTCCAACTATATGACAGTCTGGAAAAGGCAAAACTATAGAGAGAGTAAAAAGATCAGTGGTTACCAGGAGTTGTGGGGGTGGGAGAGGGATGAATAAGCAGAACACAGCAGATTTTTAGGGCAGTGAAAATACTCTGTAGAATGCTATAATTATGGATACATGTCAATATATATTTGTCCCAAACCAATGAATGTACACCACCAAGAGCTAGCCTTAACATTAGGCTATGGACTTTGTGTGATAATAATGTGTCAATATGGTTTCATAAATTGTAACAAATGTACTTACTTTGGTGAGAAGTGTTGATAATGAGGGATGCTATACACGCGTAGTGGCAGGGGTATATGGGAAATATCTGTACCTTCTTCTCAATTTTGCTCTGAACCTAAAACTGCTCTAAAAAATAGTCTTAAACACACACACACCAGAAGCAATAGGTGGGTGTGATTCAATGAAGGAGCCATGATCCAAGAAACTACAACAACAAAAACTGAGGGATTTTGTCCCCACAAGACCTGTTTTACAAGAAATGCTAAAGGGAGTTCTACAAGTTTGAAGGAATCAACATTAAAAAGCAACAGGAGGGGCTGGCCCCGGGGTGTAGTGGTTAAGTGCGTACACTCTGCTGCTGGTGGCCCGGGTTTGGATCCCGGACGCGCATCGACACACTGCTTATCAGGCCATGCTGCAGCGGCATCCCACATAAAGTGGGGAAAGATCAGCATTGATGTTAGCTCAGGGCTGGTCTTCCTCAGCAAAAAGAGGAGGATTGGCATGGATGTTAGCTCAGGGCTGATCTTCCTCACACACACACACACACACAAAAGCAACAGGAAAGCATATGAAAGTACAAACATCACTAGTAAAGGTAAATATAAAGACAAGTACAGGATATTGTAATACTATAATGGTGGCATGTATATCACTTTTAACACTAGTAAAAAAGTTAAAAGACTTATGTCTTATTAAGAATAACTATAACCCCTCAGGACTGTATATATTTGCATACTTTTAAAAGCTTGAGAGACAAGCCTGGGGCATGGCTGAATGAAAAGGTTCATCTTCTAAGAGAGGCCACTCCTTCAAAACTGGGAGAGGTGATTGTTTCATCTATTATATAGAATCCAACACAGAGATTCAAGTAAAATGAAGAAACAAAGGAATACGTCCCAAAAGAAATAATAAGATAAAACCTCAGAAAAAAAAAGTAATGAAATGGAGATAAGTAATTTATCTGATAAAGAGTTCAAAGTAATGGTCATAAAGATGCTCACCAAACTGGGGGATAAGAATGGATAAACACAGTGAGAACTTCAAAAAAGAGAAGGAAAACATAAGAAAGTACCAAATAGAAGTCACAGAGCTGAAGAATACAATAACTGAACTGAAAAACAGACTAGAGTGGTTCAAAAGCAGACTAGATGAAGCAAAAGAAAGGATCAGTCAACTTGAAGGCAAGGCAGTGGAACTTACCAAATCAGAGTAGCAAAAAGAAAAAAGAATAAAAAAAATGTGAAGATAGCTTAAAGGACTTATGGGACAACATCAAATGGACTAACACTCACCTTATAGGGCTCCCAGAAGGAGAAGAGAGAGAGAAAGGCCCTTAAAAATCATTTGAAGAAATAATGGCTGAAAATTTCCCTAATTTAGGGAAGAAAACAGAAATCCAGATCCAGGAAGCCCAGAGAGTTCAAAAGAAGATGAATCCAAAGAGAGCCACACCAAGATACATTATAATTAAATGTCAAAAGTTAAAAAAAAGAAGAGACTATTAAGAGCAGCAAGAGAAAACTCGTTACATACAAGAGAACTCCCATAAGACTATAAGCAGGTTTTTCAGCACAAACTTTGCAGGCCAGAAGGGAGTGGCATGATATACTCAAGGTGCTGAAAGAAAACTTCCAACCAAGACTATTCTACCCTAAAAAGTTATAATTTAGAATTGAAGGAGACATAAGGCATGTTCCAGACAAGCAAAAGCTAAAGGAGTTCATCACCACTAAACCAGCCTTACAAGAAATGTTAAAGGGACTTCATTAAGCTGAAAAGAAAGGGTACTAATTAATAAAAAGAACACAAATGAAAGAATAAATGTAACTGGAAAAGTAAATATATAATAAAGGTAGTGGATTAATTACTTATAAAGCTAGTATGAAGGTTAAAAGACAAAAGTAGAAAAAATAACTATGATTATAGTAATTAGTTAAGAGATACACAAGATAAAAAGATGTAAAATGTGACAGCAAAAACAAAAAACATGGAGGGAACAGTAAAAATGTTGAGCTTTAGAATGGGATCAAACTTTAGTTGTTATCAACATAAAATATAATGTTATAGATATAAGTTGTAATATGTAAGCTTCTTGGTAATCACAGAGCAAAAACCTATAGTAAATACACAAAAGATAAAAAGAATGGAATATAAGCATACCACTAAAGAAAGTCATCAAACCACAAAGGAAGAGAGCAAGAAAAGAAGAAGGGAACAGTGAGGAACTACAAAAACAGCTAGAAAACAATTAACAAAATGGTAATAAGCACATACCTATAAATAATTCCTTTAAATGTAAATAGACTAAACTCTCCAATCAAAAGATAAAGTGTGGCTGAATGGATAAAAAACAAGCCCTATCTATATGCTGCCTACAAGAGACACACTTTAGGCGTAAGGACACACACAGGCTGAAAGCAAAGGGATGGAAAAAGATATGCCATGCAAGTGGAAATAAAAAGAAAGCTGGTGTGTCTATACTCATATCAGACAAAGAGACTTTAAAACAGAGTACAGTAAGATACAAAGAAGGGTATTACATAAGGATAAAGGGGTCACTCCAAGAAGATATAACATTTGTAAATATGCACCCAACATAGGAGTACAAAAATATATAAAGCAAATATTAACAGATGTAATGGGAGAAATAGATTTCAATACAATAATAGGGGACTTTAATATTTCACTTACATCAATGGATAGATCATCCAGACAGAAAATCAATACAGAAACAATGGCCTTCCATCCAAAAGCAACAAAATACGCAATCTTCTCAAGTGAACATGGGACATTTTCCAAGATAGAACATATGTTAGCCGACAAACAAGTCTTAATAAATTTAAAAGGATTGAGATCATATCAAGCATCTTTCTGACCACAGTGGTATGAAACTAGAAATTAATTACACCAAGAAAGCTAGAAAATTCACAGATATGTGGAGATTAAACACTATGCTACTGAATAACCAATGGGTCAAAGAAGAAATAAAAAAAAATTAAAAAATATCTTGAGACAAATAAAAACGGAAATGTAATATACCAAAATTTATGGGATGCAGCAAAAGCAGTTCCAAGAGAGAAGTTCATAGCAATAAATGCCTATTTCAAGAAAGGAGAATGTGGCAAATAAACAATCTAACTTTACACCTCAAGGAACAAAAAAAGAAGACAAAATGAAGCCTAAAGTTAGTAGAAGGAAGGAAATAAAAAAGATTAAAGCAGAAATAAATGAAATAGAGACTAAAAAGACAATAGAAAAGGTCAATATATCTAAGATCTGATTTTTTGAAAGGATAAACAAAATTAACAAACCTTTAGCTAGACTCACCAAGAAAAAAAGAGACAGGGCTCAAATAAATAAAATCAGAAATGAAAGAGGAGACATTACAATTGATACCACAAAAATACAAAGGATCATAAGAGACTACTATGAATAATTATACGCCAACAAATTGGACAACCTAGAAGAAGTGGATAAATTCCTAGAAACATAAACCTACCAAGACTGAATCATGATGAAATAGTAAATCTGAACAGACTGATTACTAACAAGAAGATTGAATCATAATTAAAGTAATTAAATTAAAAGTAATTCAAAACCTCCCAACAAATAAAACCCAGGATGAGGCAGCTTCACTGGTGAAATCTACCAAACATTCAAAGAAAAATTAATACCAATTCTTTTCAAACTCTTACCAAAAAATAGAAGAGGGGGAACTCTTCCAAACACATTTTCTGAGGCCAGTATTGCCCTGATAGCAAAACCAGACAAGGATGACAAAATAAAAATGAAAATTACAGGGCAATATCCCTGAAGAACATAGACGTAAAAATTCTCAAAAAAGTATTAGCAAACAAAATTCAACAATACATTAAAGGGATCATACACCATGATCAAGTGGGATTTATTCCAGGGATGCAAGGATGGTTCAACATCTGCAAATCAGTCAATGTGATACACCACATTAACAAAATGAAGGATAAAAATCATATGATCATCTCAATAGACGCAGAAAAAGCATTTGACAAAATTCAACATCTATTTATGATAAAAAAAGAAACCTCTCAACAAAGCAGGTATAGAAAGAACATACCTCAACATAATAAAGGCCACACGTGACAAGCCCTCTGCTAACATCATATTCAACAGCAAAAAGCTGAAAGCTTTTCCTCTAAGATCAGGAACAAGATAAGGAAGTCTACTCTCACCACTTTTATTCAACACAGTATTGGAAGTCCTAGCCAGAGCAATTAGGCAAGAAAAGGAAATAAAAGGCATCCAAATCTAAATGGAAGAAGTAAAACTGTCACTATTTGCAGATGATGTAATATTATCTATAGAAAATCCTAAAGATTCCATCAAAGAAATGCTAGAACTAATAAAAAAATTCAGTGAAGTTGCAGGATACAAAATAAATACATAAAAATGTTGCATTTCTTTACAGTAATAAGGAACCACCAGAAAGAGAAATTAAGGAAACAATCCCATTTATAATTGCATCAAAATGAATAAAATACCTAGGAAAAATTTAACCAAGGAGGTGAAAGACCAGTACACTGAAAACTATAAGACATTGATGAAAGAAATTGAAGAAGACACAAATAAATGGAAAGATATTCCATCCTCATGGATTGGAAGAGTTAACATTGTTAAAACGTCCATGCTACCCAAACCAATATACAGATTCAAATCAGTTTCTATAAAAATGCCAATGGTATTTTTCAAAGAAATAGAACAAGCAATACTAAAATTTGTGTGGAACTACAAAAGAGCCTGAACAGCCAAAGCAATCTTGATAAAGAAGAACAAAGGTGGAGGCATCATGCTCCCTGAAGTCAAACTACATTACAAAGCTATAGTGATTAAAATAATATGGTATTGGCAAAAAAACAGACAGCTAGATCAATGGAACAGAAAAGAGCGCACAGAAATGAACCCAAGCATATATGATCAATTAATTTATGACAAAGAATGGAAGACTATACAATGGGAAAAGGATAGTCTCTTCAATAAATGGTGTTGGGAAAATGGGAAAGCCACAGGCAAAAGAATGAAATTGGACCACCATCTTACACCATAAACAAGAATTAATTCAAAATGCATTAAAGGCTTAAAGGTAAAACCCGAAACCATAAAACTCTTAGAAGAAAACACAGACAGTAAGCTCCTTGATAGGTCTTGGTGATGATTTTTTGAATCCGACACCAAAAGCAAAAGCAACAAAAACAAAAATAAACAAGTGGAATTACATCAAACTAAAAAGCTTCTGCACAGCAAAGGAAACCATCAAAAAAAATTAAAAACCAATTTACTGAATGGGAGAGAATAATTGAATATCATACATCTGATAAGAAGCTAATATTCAAAATATACAAAGAACTCATACAACTCAATAGTGAAAAAACAAACAATTCCAATTAAAAATGGGCAGAAGATCTGAATAGACATTTTTCCAAAGAATACATACAGATGGCCAACAGGTACATGAAAAGATACTCAATATTATTAACCATCAGGAAAATGCAAATCAAAATTACAATGAGCTATCGCCTCACACTTGTCAGAATGGCTATTATCAAAAAGACAAGAAATAACAAGTGTTGGCGAGGCTGTGGAGAAAAGGGAACCCTTGTGCGTTGTCTGTGGGGATGTAAACTGATACAACCATTATGGAAGACAGTATGGAGGTTCCTCAAAAAATTAAAAATAGAACGACTATATGGCCAGAAATTTCACTTCTGGGTACTTATCTGAAGAAAACAAAAATGTTAATTCAAAAGATATATGCACTCCCATGTTCCTTGCTGCATTATTTACAATAGCAAAGATATGGAAACATCGATAGTGTCCATCCATAGATGAATGGATAAAGAAATTGTAGTGTATATATAATGGAATATTATTCAGCCATAAAAAAGAATGAAATTTTCCCATTTGTGACAACATGAATGAAGCTGGAGGTCATTAGGCGAAGTGAAACAAGTCAGATGGAGAAAGACAAGTACCATATGATCTCTCTCATATGGGCAATCTAAAACAAACAAACAAAAAATGAAACCAAGCTCATAGACACAGAGAACAGATTGGTGGTTGCAACAGGCAGGGTGCAGGAGTTGGGAGAGATGAGTAAACTGTTTTGGTTTTTTTTTTGAGTTTAAATAAATTGAATAAAAA